GTTAAGAGCCACTAGACATATTATTATGTAATTATATTAGATACTAAAACATACAGTAACTATCATAGGGCAGAATACAGTAAAGAGCATGGTTAGAAGCCAGAGCAGAGTCTAGGCGCTTGAGGCCTGACAGCAGGTCCTATGGGGAGTTCAGCTTTGAGCAGGCTCTTTCATCCCATTTCCACTAGGTGCCTTCTCTGTCTCTACGGCCATCAGTCCTCAGCTTATAAGCAATGGTGGAAACTTACGAGATAGAATTCAGATGAAAGATGACTATATAGTCTGTCTCTATGGAATCCTGAAATTTTAATAAAATGCCTTATTTCTAAAATCTATTTCACACATTTTAAAAATCACAGCATAACTTCAGAGGAATAGAAACACAAAGACTGAAAAGCATCTTTTAGATTTGTCATCTTAGTGAAAAGTGGTCATAGAATCAAAATTTAAGAATTCAAAGATAGTTTTAAAATAACCCAGTCTAATCCTCAATTTTGCTGACGACAAAGGTCACACAGGTAACGGAACAAGCTAGAACTAGAACCTAGGTTGCCTGACTCTTCAGTGATTTTGTTCTATTTCACCAATGACTTACAAACTTCGTAGAAGAAAAATTAAAGCATGAGCAGAAGACTTAACTTTGGGCAAACCAGAACCATTCCTGCTTGGTCTACAACCCCCTCCTCAGTGACCACCCCCAGGGCACCCCAGGCTGAAAACCACTGCACTATATAGTGGGCAGCCTGTCCTTCTACACTCCTGCTTCCAGGCAGGGTGCTCATGCTATAAACATTTTTAAAAAGCTGGGTGTTAAGGCTAAAAGCCAGAAAAATCCACTCTTTATTGGGTTCAGGCAATTGAACATTTTGTGCCCAAAAGACTCATAGTGCAAATGCCAGGTCTATTAATTGACATAACCACAACACAGATTTAAATACATCAGTTCTATTTCTTTAGGGTTAACTGTTAAAGCAGCACTATTCATCTTCCTGCAACAAGGAATCTGGAAAGCATTTGCAAGAACATACTACTGTGGTGGGACCTTTGATGCCACAATAGTGTTCATGGGGAGAAACATGTTTAAAGGGTGGACTTAGAGAACCACAAGTGACTTCAGGCTGTTTCCTGGCAGAAAGCTGCTATTTTGCCTTTTAAAGGGATGAATGCAGATTTTGCAATCCCCCAGTGGAAAAGTGTGGACTGCTTCTGAGGTCCATAGCCTTTTGGGTATACCTCCATAGGTATGTTAGTGGATCACTATTAAAGAAGCAGTCTGAAGATGTGAATTATGTCATTTAAACTTCACAGTAATCATATGAAGTATGTATTTTTTTCCATTTCGTATTAAAGGGATGTTAAGTAATTTGTCTAAAGTCACAGAGCTACTGAGTGGCAGAGGCAGAATCTGAACCTAGTTCTGAATGAACCTAGGGCTCTTTTCTCTCCACTGAGTCTCTGGACTGAAACTTCCCATTCTCTTCATTATATTCAGTGATTCAACTCCATCAAAATGAAGTTACTGTTTAGCATCTATTTAATTTCTCAGGGTGGAGTTTAGAGGGACATGAAAACAATCACTATCTCACACAGGTGTGTTTCCTTCAAAGACGGTCTTTACAATGTCCCTAAGCAACCAATCTCAGTGTCACTCCAGCAAATACTACTGAGAATTTGACATGGAAAGCAGTGTGTCAAGGAAATTATCCATCTAATTTGGATACATTAGTTAAATCTGTAACTCTTTAAGGACACATCCTGCCAACTCACTCTAAAAACTTGATAAGGGTTGAGAGTACAGAAGGAGAAGAGCAGAAGCCAGGAGACAGCTACAGGGAATATCAGCATCTAATGTGTGAGAAGGGGAAGAGAAACTCTCCAAAGTGTAAAGTTCAAAGATTGGATATATGGACTGAATGTCTATGTTCCCCTAAAATTCGTATGTTGAAGCCCTAACCCCCAATATTATAGTATGTGTGGAGGTCATGTCCTTAAAGACGGGGAAGAGAGACTAGAACTCTCCCCTCCTCCCCACCACCACCACCACATGAAGACACACCAGAAGGTGGCTATCACCAAGGCCAGGAAGAGAGCCCTCACCAGGAATTGAATGGGCTGGCACCTCCATCCTAGACTTCCCTGCCTCCAGAACTGTGAGCAATAAATGTCTGTTGTTTAAACCACCCAGTCTATGGTATTCTGTTCTAACGGTCTGAGCTGAGACACTGGGGAAGGTCAGAGAGGGAGGAGAGAACCTGCATGAGACTGTGTCAGTCTGCCCTGCGACTGGGAAGTCAGGGGAGCAGAGGTAATAAAAAGCGAGCGCTTGACAGTACCACAGGCAGCAGAGACTCCGTAGGCTAAAGGCTAAGAAGTATACTGACAGACATTAATGCCATCACCTGGCAGGAACTGATTTACTTCCAGTCAGATGACAAGCCCAGTCCTTTCTGTTTAGTTGGCCAGTGGATTTCAACCTGAGCAGCATGACAAAATCACCTGGGAGTGTTTAAAAGTACTAATGCCTGGGCCTCAATTCCAGAGATTCTGAGTGAACTAGTCTGGGCGAGGGCCTGGACACTGGGGTATTTTTTAAAAAGCTCCCTTAGCGATTCTAATGTGTAGCCAGGGTTGAGAACTATTGCAATTTCAGTTATATTGTTAAAAAGGAAAAAGAAAAGTTTCGTCTGCATTCTGGTAGAGCAGATTTTATACGGTAAGGTGGCTATGAGCAGTTACAGATGTGCTAAGTGCGTTCATGGGTTATCTCATTTAACCCCCACCACAGTGCTGTGAGGTAGGTACTATATTAACCCTGTTTCATAGATGAGGAAACAGGCACAGAGCGGTTAACTTGTTGAGCTCACATAGTAAGTGCAGAGATGTGGAAAAACCCACTGCCACTTTAAAAAAGCTCAATAAAACAAATGCCACTTGCCATGTAAGAAACAGGAGTATATTTCCGATTGAGTGATTCTACCTCCTCCAAGACATGATTATATACAGACATCATTCTTCTCTCATATTCACTATCAGCATGGGCTGCTGCCGTAGATCCATATTCCTGGAAACTGAAGGAAAGATCAGCATCAGTTAATCAATCAAAATAGTAACTATTTTAACGCCTAAACAATATCAGGAAACATGGAAACATGAAAGTGTTTAAACCTTGTTGCTGACATGACGCAAAAGAGACATAAGACATTTGAAAAGGTAACCATCAACTGAGCCAGCAGGTAAGTGCCAAATTACCAATAAAGATATATAAATAATAGGTTAGAATATGGAGGGAGATGAGGAAAGTCATGGAAGAGAATAGTCGTGAATAAATCACTGGGATGAAAAAGATTTGGAGAGATGGAAAGTACAGGGACATTCATGGCTGGGGAAATGGCATGAATGTGAGGCATGGAGGTGAAACACACAGACAGGAATGTTCAGGAAAAAGCTCGCATACGAAGCGTGCTGGGAAAAGTTTAACCTAGAGTTCTTCCTTTTCCCTCTACTGCTTCAAATCCCCCAACATTTCTGAAAATATTTTAAGTGAGAAAAGAAGGCATTCTTTTCTCTTGCATTCTAACTAAACTTTTGACAATGCAACGTAGGTAATTTAAATACGCTGGGCACAATACCGCTCTTACTATTCCCTAGTAACACTTTAATGCCTATGAGGTGCAAAGCGCTTCAGCTAGGTACTTTACCCAGGTTATTTCACTTAATCTTCACAACCACTCTTAAGAAAAAGGCATAATTATCTACCTATAGTTTATGCATATGCGGCTCAGGGAGATGAAATATATTCACAGAGCTAGGAGTGAGTGATTAGGGATTCATGTGTCTGCCTGGCTCCAACGCTCTGTTCCCTGCTCTGTACTGTATCTTAAGTTGCATTAAGACAAGAATTGAAGCTCATTTTTATGATGGACTTTATGGACAACTATACAAATAATTTGCTAATAAAAAATTCCATTTCTGGCTTTTTATTTCTGTAAATGAGATTTATTCTTCCTCATAGTTCATGTAAGTAGAGCCATACAATACAAACTCTTTTGTGTATGCTGTAAGGTAAAGTCAATATTCTTTTTTCCTCCTATATATTTAGTTGTTCTAGCACAATCTATCGAAGACTCTTCTCCTCCCACTGAATTATCTTGGCATCTTCAACAAAAATCAAGTGACCACACCAGTGTCTATTTCTGGACTCTCTATTATACCCTTAAACCAATATCACACTGTCTTAATTACTATAGCTTTAAAGTAAGTCTTGAGATTAGTAGTTAAATCCTCCCATTTTAGTTTTTCTCTATTCTACAATGTGGTGAATTACATAGATTGATTTTCTAATGTTAAACCAACCTAGCATTCCTGGGATAAACCCTATTTAGTCTTAATGTATTATCCTTTTCTGTATTGCTGGATTCAATTCGTTTATGTTTTGTTAAAATTTTTTATGCCTACATTCATAAAGAATATTTGAGTTTGTCCTGTTCACTTAAATTAGCAAATTTATTGGCACAAAGTTATTATACTCTTATTATGCTTTAAATGTCTACAGGATTTGTATTGATACTCTATTTCCAATATTAATAACTTGTATTCTTTTTCTTGCTCAGACTAGTTTTATCAATTTTATTAATCTTTTCAAAGAATCAGCTTTTGCTTTCACTGATTTTCTCTATTGGCTTCTTTCACAGCCCATTTTTGAGAGGCATCCATGGTTTTCAGATGTCCTGTTGAATGATCAACAGGCCATTCATCTTTATTGCTGAGTAATATTCCATTGTATGGATATACAATTTATTTATCCATAAGCCTGTTGAGAAACATTTGGATTTTTCCAATTTTTGTTGTTATGAATAAAGCTGCTAAGAACATTTGTGTAGAAGTCCGTGTGGAAACATATTTTCAATTCTCTTGAGTAAATATGTAGGAGCAGAATCGGCAGTCATAAATAACTGTACGTTTAACTTTTAAGACACTGCTGAACAGTTTTCCAAAGTGGCTGTATCATTTTGCATTTCCAACAATATACATAAATTTAAGCCCCTCCACATCCTCACCATTTGGTATTGAAGGTCTTTTTAATCTTAGCTGTTGTAGTGGGTGTAGGATCTCATTGATTTAATTAGCATTTCCCTGATGACTAATGATGTTAAGTATCTTTTCATGTGCCTGTTGGATATTAGCATATGTTCTTTCTTGAAGTGCCTGTTCAAATTTCTCACCAATTTAAAAAAATTGGCTTGTCTTAAATTGTACAGTATTCTTAATATATTCTGCATACAAGTATTTTGATAGAATATGTTTGAGACTATTTTATTCCTGTCTGTAACTTGTCTTTTCATTTTCTTAACATCTTACAAAGAGCAGAAGTTTAAAAATTTAAATCCAATTCAAATTTTTCTCTCATGGTAACTGTTGTTCCTGCCCTTAAGAAATCTTTCCCAACTTCAAGGTCATGAAGAGTTTCTCCGATGCAGTCTTCTACAAAGTTTGGAGCTTTATATTTTGGTCTATGATACAACTGGAATTTGTGTGTATGGTGTGAGGTACGGTCAAGATGTTTTTTCCTATATAGTTATCTAGTAGTTTATTTCTAATTTCCTCTTTGAGGAAAGTGACCTTGGAATCTCAGGCCTTATTAGATTGAAATTATAGACAGTGAAAACACATATTCTGAAACACAATACCATAATGGGAAAAAATAATGTATCATTTTTTAATAAAAAACACTAATTTTGAAGAGTTAATTAGTTATTGGGGGAGGGGGAAAATTTTTAATACAGCAAAACCAGGACTATTTTGGTTCAGGAAGCCAAAGAATAAAAATGTCAAGTTCAAGCTTAACTGTATCATTAATTCAATTTTTCAAAAATGTTTAGTTATACTATATAAGAAATTGTGAATATTCAAAGAATTCCTTCCCAGTTATTTTTCCAAGTCAATGTTTTAAAAATAGGAGGCAGGAGGTAAGTAGACAATGAAGTCAGAAAATCTACGTTTTTGTCACTAATTATGTGACCCTGGGAAAATGCTAAAAGAATTCTTCCTCTTTTTCTTCTATAGTATCTCTTCTAAAACACTATTATGATGATTAGGTAAGATAACGTATTTGAAAGTATTTTGTAATGTAAACTATTATTAGAGTTACCTTGCTGATTCTGGATCCAAAATCAGGGCTTCTATTGCATGAGATATCAGTAAACAGCTCTGTTGCTGTCTGGATTAATGTTAAGGTTATACATGAAAATAGAGATTTCCACTATAGATTTACATTATCTGAGTATTAAATGAGTCATGAGGACAATCATATTTTTAGTGAAGGTAATCATAACATTAACTCAGATGGTCTGGGGCTCTATTTTTCCCTTTTAAGGGAATCACTGCCTACAACAGTGATTCTCAAAGTCTGTTCTTAGAAGGGTACTTATGAGGCTGTCCAGTGTGGGAAGGGGGACCCAAGAAACAGGCCTATGATTCAATCACAGCAACTCTGTTTTTAATCTGTCTTAGATATAGGGGTTCTTCATAAGCGTTTGAGACAAACAAGCAAACAATAAAGGGCTTCACTGATAAAAATTAAAAACAAAAAAACAAAACCAATGGTCTATAGAACCTTTAGCCCAGAGGTTCCTAATCTGGGGCTTAAGGGATCTGTTAATCTCACTGAAGTTGTGTAAATTTTGGGTGTGTGCATAAGCCCATTTTGTAGGGCAGAGGGTCCATACCATTCATTAGGTTTCAATCAGCAAACCAAAATGCTAAGAACTACTGACTGGTAAGTCCACAACTCAAAAATAATTTCTCTTCCCTCCTTTCAAAAATAAATGGAAGTTGCTAAAAAGAAAATATAGTGAACTTAGAGAGGGCTAGGGAACAAAAGTGATGACTAAAACTACTAAACAGATCATTAATAACGGTGATGACACCTAGGGTTGTTAGCCATGAAGAAAGAAGGATGAGGGGAAGCAAAATGTTCTCTGGTTGGAAAATATAACATGCTGTAGGTGATAGCTAATAGGAGCACAAGGTATGCATCACTGGTAAGATACAGGCTTTGGATGCTCTTCCTGGAGGTGGAGAAAACCACCTGAATCACCATATTTTTAAAAAAACCTGGTTCAAGTCAAAAAGTAAAATTATTCTGCTTATACTAATTTCAAAGGGGAAATTATTAATTATGATAAGTCTGTAGGCTTATCTAACATATATTTTGTAGTTAAGCTTATCTGAAGTATTTAGTCTACATTTAAAAGAATACTTCCAAAGAACAAATAATACTGGGGTAAGCTTAGGATACAGTTCTACGTTCCTCAAAGTTGCCGAGTCAGCATCAAAAGATGCCTGGTAAAGATCCCCGTATCGGGAAGCAAGGCTTCGAAATTCTTCCGTGGACTGTTTCATCTGTAAAGAAGAAAACAATATCAGTGATGACAAACAAACATGCTATCATTATTGTATAAACAACACAAAAATCAAAACATAAAAAAGTCATCTTCAGACAAAAATTCAAATAATGAATTCTTTTCATTGTCATTCTATTCACCTTCATAAACTTTGTTACATAAAATCAACAAAAATGGCAAATGAAACCACAGATGTTTATAAGATCGTAATAATTAATATACAATATATAGAAACAAAAAAATTTGCATTTTATCTTCTTCAAGTTCCACTAAAATAATTAATACAGCTTAAAACATTCCTAAGTTTCTTTCAAACGCATGTCCTTTCTCTTTATATAAACTTGTTGCACCCACTAAGACGTCATCACACCGTCAATCACTATATCGTTCTAATAACACATCAGCCTATTTTTGGCAACACAGATGAGTTAATAAACGTGATGCTTATGTCTAAGTCAAACCACTGATTTTAAATTACAGAATTTTTCATCTCAAAACTAGCTTCAAAAACCTATAAAGTATAAATAAAAAGTACACTGAAAATAAAGTTAAGACCTGCCTGATTGGAAATGCGACCACACCTCTGGAGGTCATTTCCTAAGGTCATGGCAATTGTTGTGGCAATTGCGGGTGGAGGGCTTGTTTTTAGGCTATTACATGTACAGATCAGCTGAGAGAAGGCTTGTAGAAGGTCAATCCTGAGTTTTACAAATTCGCACTGAAAACTTAAAGGATTCAATGGTGTACTAGCAGCCTGGAGGAAAAAAAAAGAGAGATTTAAGAAAAAGTAAACATAACAACGAAGTAGGGTAGTACTCAGTATTTGTCACAGTTTGTACACAAGAGCAATACTTCTAACATTGATGGATAAACACCTAAATCATAAGGAGAATTATGTAATATTAGAAAGAAAAACGTATGAGCGTCAGCTCTGATGTATGTTCCATCAATATTCAAAGGTTCCTTATTTCCTGCATTCCCAGAGACTCTATAACGTGGGTTGGCTAGATTGTCGTCAGTAAGATATCACATAAGAGATGCTTTAAGGACATTACCGTTCCCCCAAGTCCCCTTATCACCTTCCTACCTTTCTAATCTGAAATTCCCACCACTGCAATCATTAACAGTATCTTTACAAGTTGGGGGCAGGGAGGAAAAGAAAGATAAGGGCAGGAGAAATATGTTTCTATCCAGTCACTTACAGCACACTGCCTCAAAGCTACCTTCTTCCATTGCTAGCTCAGATTAATTTTTAAAAGAATTTCTAAGTAGACACTTTAGAAAACAGAGAGAGGCCACCAAGGAAGTTACAATATACAGATAAGTTTCAGTGAGGATGGAGGGGTGTCAGGGCTAAGTCTTGGGTAGCAAAGAGTACCATTAGTTGGGTAGACAGGGTAAAGAATGGTAAGTCAAGCCAGGGTGGGCAGAGAACTAAGACAACCTTTAAGTATTTAGCAACTGTCCTAGTGGAGAACCAAGCACCATGTTTTCAACAAAAGGCATACATTAAAAATATGCTAACTTAACAATAAATGGAGGCATAGTGAAATTAACTTTCCTCTATGACATGACCCAGTTGAAACATATTGAGGCTGTTTCTTAGACACTATCTCAAACTACTCTTTCAGCAGAAGAGCCAGACATGTGATTTTGGGTTCTATTTTTATTTATTTATTTATTTTTTGAGACAGAGTCTCACTCTGTCGCCTGGGCTAGAGTGCTGTGGCATCAGCCTAGCTCACAGCAACCTCAGACTCCTGGGCTCAAGCAATTCTCCTGCCTCAGCCTCCCGAATAGTTGGGATTATAGGCGTGTGCCACCACACCTGGCTAATTTTTTTTTAATTTTTAGTAGAGATGGGGTCTTGCTCTTGCTCAGGCTGGTTTCCAACTGCTGGGCTCAAGTGATCCTCCCACCTTGGCCTCCCAGAGTGCTAGGATTACAGGCGTGAGCCACCGTGCCTGGCCCTGATTTTGGGGTTCTAAAAATTAGTTACAATATTATCCATCTGGCCAAGTATCACATATTGACCGTAGGACAGTTGTCTCAACTATTAAGTTATTAAGTGTAAAATGTCCAATTTCCTTAAGTACTAAGTTTGACAGTTAATATCTCTGATATTTCACTTTGAAGCTTCTTGTTTTATGTTTATAATGAAGGTATATCCTCAGTCTTTCAAATGCATGTTTGGGTTATCATTATCTTTCACATTTTTTTTTTTAGAGCAATTTTTGTGAAACCATGCATAAGTCAAAAATTTGTGTTATTTTCAAATGTGAGTTCCCTGGTGCAACCAATGCAATACAGACAGCTCGAAATATCAATGAAGTGTTTGGGAAGCATATGGTTAATGAATGCCAGTACCTCTATGGATTGAGAAGTTGTGTTCTGGTGATTTTAATCTCAAAAATGAGGCACATGGGCGACCTGAGACCAAGGTGGATAATGATGAGCTGAGAGCTGTAGTGGAAGCAAATCCATCTTAACCTACACGTGAATTAGCAGCAAGGTTTGATATTACTATTCCAACAACATTGGACCATTTGAAACAAATCGACAAGGTAAAGAAGCTGGATAGATGGGTTCTGCATGAATTAAACAAGCGTCAGAAGTCAGAAGAGAAATCATCTTGAAGGTTGCTTTTCTTTGTTGTAATGACATAAAAGCAAACCATTTCTACACCATATTGTTATGTGTGATGAAAAATAAATTCTTTTTGACAATTGCAAGTGTTCAGCACAATGGTTAGATAAAGATGAAGTGCCAAAACACAGACCAAAGCCGAATATTCATCAAAAAAAGCTAATGGTGTCTGTTTGGTGGTCCAGCGTTGATATGAAACCTGGTCAACTGATTACAATGGATGTCTACTGCAACCAACTGGACGAAATGATGAGGATGCTTGTGATTAAGCAGCCAAGATTGGTCAATAAAGACGGGCCAATACTCTTGCAAGACAACACTCAACTACATGTTGCACAAACAATGCTGCTCAAACTACAGAAGCTGGACTTGGAAACACTCTGTCATCCAACATATTCACCAGACCTTGCACCAACTGACTATCACTTCTTCCAGGCTTTGGACCACTTCATCCAAGGAAAAATATTCAATTCTCAACAAGCTGTGGAAAATGTCTTTTGCGATTTCATCGCCACTTGCTCTCCAGGCTTCTTTGCTGCTGGCATAAACCAGCTACCGTTAAGATGGCAAACCTGTGTTGACAGTTTAGGCGCATACTTTGATTAATTGTACTGTTTCTTGTTTGAGATATAATAAACTACACTTTTGATTCGAAATCAGACATTTCATATTTAATGACCTAATATTAAGTGTCAAATGATGTTTTATTATTTGGCAGCATTCACATTTTACTCTACAAAATAGCATGCTATTCCCTGCATCCTTTATAGGAATGTACACTTGCTTTAGTAGCCCTTTTAAACTGCCAAAGGTCCTTGATGAAATATTTTATATAAGGTAGAGTTAATAACTGTACTCAATATATTTAATTCTGTGGTTTTTCAACCTTTGGGATGTTTTATGCTAATCATGAAACAATATGGATTAGGACAGTAAAGAGACCATTTCAAATGTTTTAAATTTCTTAGGTGAGATCTGATTTGTTCTTATATGAGGACAGATTCCCCCACTTGTCTGCCCCTTAAGCTGCTATTTACTATTTTTAATTTACCGTTTGCCAGAAACTTTAGAAGGAATAGAAGTACAAGTAGTTGTATATAATACTGTTATACAAATACAGTACAGACCATCTTACCAGACAAAAAATACTGGCAGCATTGTCCTAACATGCATTATAAAACTGAAAGAGAAGCAAGGTGCAGTTATAACGAGCGAGATTTGCTGCTCCTCTGGATTTATTTCTGACTAACAAAAGATATTTGACTGATGACATAAGATGATAACCTTGAAGGTGACTGTCATCTTGGACCACGCTATAGTGAAGGAAAGCAATGTCAGATATGGTATATAACTTCAAAAAGAACACAGAACAGACAGATTTGTCATAAAGGTCAAAGACTTTAAAAGGTAATATTTTCCAAGAAAGATGGGAGATGTACAGGAAATAAAATTTAGACTATAGAAGTATGAATAATGCCAATGAAAAATAAAAGGGTATAATTTCCTTTGGTTTCCACTGGGGCTAAAGCTTAAATAGAGGTTGTGTTCTAATGTCAGTAAGTAAAGCAAACATCGTGTATAATCAAAATTACCCCTAAAGATTCCTCAGGAAGAAATTATTTCCAGTTAGTTCAACATAGCCAGATGAAGGAACAGTAAACTCAGAGTTCTCTTCTAATCCTCACTCCGGGGTATAAGCTAATTCAGAAGGAAGGCTAGGAGGACTGTCCTCACTATTTAAATAGCTTTTTTTTTTTTTTGCTAGAGTTAAATTTGTGTTAAATATGCAAATAATGCTACTTCACTGTATTTCTGATTTGTAGTACTTATCCTATTTTCTAAATGGAGTTAGCTAAAGAAACCAATGCAGCTGAAAAAAAAAAAAGCTACTTGATAAACTCATCACATTGTTGTGAAAGAAATCTTCAAAACTTTTTCATCTTGCAGAACTGAAACTCTACACTCATTAAACAATAGCTCCCTTGTTCCCCCTTCCCCAATGCCCTGGCAACCACCATTCTACTTTCTGTTTCTACGAATTTGACTATTTTAGATATTTCATATAAGTGGAATCATACAGTATATGTCTTCTGTGACTGGCTTATTTCAGTTAGTATAAGGTCAGTTTTTAAAAGAATAAGTCAAGCCTAAAGCAATAGAGAACTAGATTAAACCATCTCTCCTGCTAAGAATAAATGGGAAAATGGAACAAAATATTAAAATCATCTATTTGAAAGCATCAAAGAGCTACTAAGGCAACAAGGACAAGTTTGAAAACTGCTGCTGAGAGTCTAAAAAGCTGAGCAGAGATTTCAGCAGTCTCATAAAACTAGGATGGGCTGTGGAAAATATTTCAGGCTTTCCACTTTAACCTCAAAAGGCTATACCCTAGGAATTAGGAGAACCTGAAAATATGTTGGCCCTCACAAGGACTGAATCCTACTTTTGAATCAGTTCAATCCTTGGCTGAATTAAAGTGATCTTCCCTTGCCTAGGTGCCTGTCAAAAGCAAAGTAAAATAAGTTAAGGCTCTGGATGCTGTAGTCACTATCATTTTCTATACACACTGTCCAAAACTCAATAAAAAATAACCAGGCATACAAAAAAGACAAAATTCCCAAGCCAAGAAGGGAAAAAAAAAGTCAAAGATACAAACCAGTAGATCCAGACAGCAGAGATATCAGATATGAATTTTAAAATAACTATGATTAATATGTTAAAGAAATTAAATGACAAAAAAAAGAACCCTAGATAAAAACTGGAAAATATAAAATCAACAAATGGAAATTCTGGAACTAAAACATAATATATAAAACTAAGAACTTAATAAATGGGCTTAACAGCAGATTAGACACAGTAGAAGAGAGATTTACTGAATTGGAAGATGTTCAGAAGAAAACTTTTAGAAGGAAGTACTGAGAGAGAAAAAGATGGAAAATGCAGAAGAGAATGTGAGAGATATATGAGACACGGTAAAAAGAATTAATATAGGTACAGTTGAAGCCAACCATAACCTCAGAACATATCAGATGAGAAGGAAAATGCAGAGCAATAGGAACTCTTTATACACTGTTGGGAGGACTGTAAATTTATAAAGCCACTGAGGAA